ATGGAAGCAGCAGTCAAGAAATCATACAATGTATTGCATTAAGCAAATCTGTTGCACAAGACCTTTTTAAAGTGTTGAAGAACAAAGATGTCAGCTTGAGGACTAAGGTGCGCGTGACCCAAGCCATGGTATTTTCAATAACCTCATATGCATGCGAAACCTGGACAGCGAATAAGGAAGACCGTAGAAGAATTGATGCTTCTGAGTTACGTGCTGGAGGAGAATATTGAAAGTGCCATGGGCTGCCAAAAGAACCAATAAATCCATTTTGGAAGAAGTGCAGCCAGGGTCTGTTCCTTGGTGGCCAAGATGGCCAAACTTCGTCTCTCATACTTCGGACATATTGTCAGAAGGGACCAGTCGCTGGAGAAGGATATCATATTTGTTAAGGTGGAAGGTCAGAGGAAAAGAGGAAGACCCCCATGGAGATGGATTGGCCAAGTGGCAGCATTGATGGACTCAAGCGTGGCAACAGTAGTGAGGTTTGCCTAGGATGGGGCAGTGTTTTGTTCTGCTGTTCATGAAGTTGCTATGAGTCCATACCGACTCGATGGCACTTAACAACAACAGCAACAACATACATTGAGATGTAGTCCATACTGAAGGCCGTGGTTTTTGATCTTTATTAGTAAGTATTTTAAGTCCTCCTTGCTTAAAAGGACAATCGACGCAGAGAAATTAACTCAGTTGTACAAGCTCATGAAACTGAATTTGAACTCAGGCCTGCAAACTCTAGAACCTGTGCTCTACACATTTCCTGGTGCAGCTAGTCCCCTGAAAAATGATAAAGTCCTTGTTTTGTAGCCAACAGGTAGTGGAGCTTTAGGAGGTACTGTACTTCAAAGCCTGACCTTTTTTTTTTTAATCACTTTTTTGCTTCAGTTTTCCAGACTTTATCATGGGGTAAAGCGAGCCGCAAATCCTCCCCACATATTTGCGTCAGCAGATGCTGCTTACCAGTGTATGGTTACTTTCAGCAAAGACCAGGTAAGACTTTGCCTACTGTTATTACTTTCCTACCACGTCACACTCTTAAGATATTCTTTATCTTCCTCTTTAGCTCTTCAGTTCTTCCTGACAATTTCTCAATTTGAGTGCTGATGCTGGCCCAAGGAAATAAGACATTCAAACTGGAACACTGATAAGTCAAGTCACAGTACTAAGGGAACATTAAAACACTTTTCAATATGTGAAACACTCACATCAAGAGCATTTACTTAACCCAATAAAATGTAATGAGGAAAAAAAATGTAATGAGGATATTTCTAATATGACCATAATTAGAACATAAAACAAACAAAAACCCAATTCATGTGGCAATGATTGTAATAAAAATATTACATTACAGGATGTAGAATGACATAGAGGAAATTTCCTCCATTAAGGTCTCAGAATTTTCATTTTCCAGTCCTTCTTTTCTGAAATATTATACACAGGTTGACAGTGATCATGAACAATACCATTGAGCTGCTGAAAATTTGTCATTCATTAGGTAAAAACTGAATTAACCTTAAACGAACCAAAAGGTTAGTGGTTATGTGCCATCAAGATAGTTCTGACTCATAGTGACCCTATATAGGGTTTCTGAGGCTGTAAATCTTTACAACAGCAGAAAGTCTCATCTTTCTCCTGTGGAGGCATTTGACCTTGGCACCCCTGAGACTATGATCCTGAGTCCCCACACCCCACTAAAACATTCCCTCAAGGTGTTTGGCTATAGCTAAGAAGAACACCATTTTTTAGCCTCTCAGATGGGCAAAAACCCAACATAGTCTGTTCATGAAGCTGTAGGAGAGTGGACACGTCCCTCTATTTATATAGTCCTTAGAAAAGCAGTTTGGCAGATTCTATCAAATTAACAAATATGTTTACCCTTTCTCCAACAATCCCACTTCTAAGAATTTATTTTATATATGAGCCTGCATGTAGATATAATTACCTATTTTTGGGAATATTCATTACAGAATTGCTTATAATAGCAAAAGAAAACAGACAAGCACCCATTAATAAGGGAGTGTCTCAATGGATTATGGTACATCTATACAGTGTGGCACTGTAGGATCAGCACAGGGTCTGCCCTTCAAACCCACCAGTTGCTCCTTGGGAATCCTATACAGGGTCTCTATGAGTTGGAACTGACTCAGCAGCACTTAACAACATACCGTTGTAACAGAGTTCTGGTGTGGCGCTATAGGATTAGCACCGGACTGTTAACTGCATTTTGGTGGTTCAAACCCACCAGCAACTCCTCAGAAACCCTATCAGGGTCGCTACGAGTCAGAACAAACTCTATGGCACTTAACAACAACAACAACATACAGCTGTAAGGATGACTATAATCTGTTGGGGATACAGTGGTTTAAGCATTAGACTTCTAAACTAAAGACCTGTGGTTCAGATCCTTGGTGGGAGAAAGATGAGGCAGTCTGTTCCTATGATTTACAGCCTTGGAAACACTATGGAACAGCTCTACTCTGCCCTGTAGGATATATCAGAATTGACTCAATGACAATGGATATGGTTTGATTTGGGATTTATACAATTGTACAAAAGATTGATAAATGAAAAAAATATGCAACTGTATGAAAGTTTGAAAAAATTCTCTATGTACCCAAATGGAAAGATTCCTAAGTTATACTGATCAGTGAAAAACGCAAGTTTACAGTCGTGGATATGATATGAAACCATAGTGGAACACACAGCATGTTTACTGTGCTACTACTAATCCTTTACTTGTCGTTCCATTTTCTGTGCCAGTGCATCGTCATCAGTGGCGAAAGTGGTTCTGGGAAGACAGAAAGCGCCCACCTGATTGTTCAGCATTTGACTTTCTTAGGAAAGGTATTGACTGCCTACTTTTTCTATTGTGCCTAAAAGTCACTGGAAAACAACTGAGCATTTTATAAATGACACAAATGGTGTTTTTATTACAGGTTACATAGAAACATTCCATCTTTGTTATGTTCCCTCCTGGATAGCTGTGCCTCTTAAGATAGCAGCATGCCATCCTTCCTTCACATAGTGAGCAAAATAATGCCAGCATGAATTTACCAGTTGATCAGCAATTAATTTTTCATGCTTTCAGTGTAATAAAAACACTTAGTCATTAGGCAGTAAAAGTGGTAGAATGGTAGGAACAGGATAAGGGAGAATCAATCAGGTGATTAACAGTTTGGGAAGGAGACATTTTTGAGCAAAAAAGAGGAAAAGTTTTCAGCTCGGCATAATGGACATTTGAAGGCATAGCTTGAAAAATGGTCAGGCTGCTCCTGTTTTACAGATGTTGCTGTTCAGTGCTGTAAAGTAGGTTCTGACTCATAGTGACCCTGTTTAGGATTTCTGAGGAGCAGCTAGACCTTGTGCTTAGCAGTCCAGTACTTATTCTACCATGACTAACTAATAAGGAATTTGAGGATTTTTTTTAAATAGGTGAAGTTTATTGAATACTATAATCGATGATTGAGAAATATTAAGGGATCTCTATTAACTATTAACTATTTAGGTCTTCTTTCTGTCAAGGATTTTAAGGGCAGTATGACTGGGGTATTGGTGCCGTACTATAGGATAAGCAGTGGACTGCTAACCATAAGGTTGATGGTTCAAACACACCAGCCTACCTCGGAAACCCTACGCAGGGTCACTATGAGTCAGAAACAAGTCAATGGCACTTAACAACAATGACTGGATTTAAAAACTGATGTGGACTCCTGGTGTGGTGCTGTGGGTTAATGCGCCAGACTGCAAAGCCATTTGAACTGCAAAGTTGGTGGTTCAAGCTCACCAACTGCTCCTCAGAAACCCTATACAGGGTCTCTATGGGTCAGAACTGACTCAATGGCACGTAACAACAACAATCTAGACTGATCTGGGGAATTGCTCAAATGAGATGAAGATGCTGAAGGCTAATGCTAATTTCTCCAAAAGGAATTCTTCCCCAAAGGATAATGTAAACTTGGGCGGGTACCTGGTAACTTTGGAAGGAAAGACTACCTGGCAACTTTGCTAGAGTTTCTGGAGCACCCTATTGACTGCTCTCTGTTTGATGCAGGCTGATAATCAAACTTTGAGAGAAAAAATTCTGCAAGTGAACTCCCTGGTAGAAGCCTTTGGGAATGCATGCACTGCCATCAATGATAACTCGAGCCGTTTTGGAAAATACCTGGAAATGATGTTTACACCAACTGGAGCTGTGATGGGGGCAAGAATTTCTGAATATCTTCTGGAAAAATCCAGAGTTATAAAGCAGGCAGTGTAAGTCACTTTGGGTTTCACCACTATAAAGACTGGGAGGCTTTGGGATTTTTTTTTTTTTTTTTAATTGTGAACATGGAAGAACATTGGCTTTATACCATTGTTTCATTGCAATGATTATAATCTCCTCTGTTCATCACCATTCAATAGTATTTGCTTCCATTCCCTCTGTTTTTCTTTCTTTTTTGAGGTGGGAGTGGGGTGGGGAGATGTACACAAAAACACTCAAGAATATATAATTTAAACAACCAAAGGGCACATTCTGAAAGCCTGCCTCTTGGCTGCTTGCAGCACTCAGTCCCTCCATTTCCATGAGTCTGGAGTTCTCAGCTGCTCTCTCTCTCCATGTCCTCGTCTCTGCCTTCATCTCTGGTGTTGGTGCATCTCTGAATAGGGTTCCGCATTCCACTTGTGCGCTCCCTTGATGGTTCTAGAGTCCTCTGTTTCTGGACTGTAAGATTAACTGTTGTTGTTAAGTGCTGTCTAGTCGATTCTGACCAATAGCCACCCTATATAGGGTTTCCGAGGAGCAGCTGGTGAGTTTGAACCACCGACCTTGCAGTTCAAATAGCTTTGCAATCTGGCACATTAACCCACAGCACCACAAAACTTCTACCTTTACAGTTGTGACAGTCGCAATTAATCTTAATAACAATTACTCACTATTGAATTGTAAGAATCTTATCCCCATCTCTTTTCACCCCATGTAGTCAAGAGGAAAACTATTAGTGGAGAGTCTATCTTCCCCCACACACTCTTAAACTAAACTCCCTCTTGAAAACTTGTAAGCCAGTCACTTTGTGCCTTTACCACTCCCTCATTTTAGGTAGGTAATGTCGAAGTTGCCATCCCTATCTCCCCTGTATGGGGATAAGATTCATACTTGATGTAAAGACTCCTTCCCTCTCAATTGGTATTTTGAGCTACTACATCTGTAAGTATAGGTCAAGTTCATCAAATTGTACCAATTTACACTCATTTACTTTATCAAAAATTGATTTTTCAATCTTTCTCTGATTGAGGTCTGATTATCCAGCCATCAAGGCTAGGTCAAATGGGTACTATCTGCAAGTTTGGGTGTTTTGGGGCGTCTCCCATCACTTCATATCAGCTGGATGCTTCACTCTCAGCTCTAGCCCTCTGTGGCTATGTCCTTGTCCATGGGCTCAGGAGTCTCCAGGTCTCACTACACACTTTGGACCAACCAGCCCTTCCTCTTCTCTCTCTCATCCCCAGGCCAACAGGTGACTATGAATCATGGTTGATCTCAGCCCATTTCTTCATTGCTGCCTTTCCACTTCTTCCACTTACCAATAGACCAATGTGGTCACCAGCAAGCTTACATGCCTGCTCATGTGTTCTCTTTGAGTTTCAGTTTTGGAGGGGGATTTGTCCTGAAGGGACTTGCTTGCTTCCCTTGATGGCTTTCTGATGAACAACTTGCTTATTCTTGTAGTAGCCAATCATACTGCCATTTTTGTTTTGGGTTTTCCTGCTGATCTTTCTTTGAAGATGTATCTTCTTTTGCTCTAGCTGTTCTAGGCTGGTGTGCTTGTCCTTTCTAGTGGGACTGTCCCACCAGATTTTGGTAAGTTTGATAGCTCCATTTCACCCTTAATATCAGCAACCCCCAGATTTTCCAATGGCAATTAATTATTTGGGCAAAAGATCAGTGATAGTTTCTCACCTAAAATATGTTTATGGAAAGACTATGAAGGGCTGGAATAGGAGGTCTTTGAATAGATATATTTGTTTCTCTTGAGTTGATTATATCAGGTAGAATTGAACAACATTGCTGCTGCTGCTGCTGCATGTTGTCCACTTGGTTCTGACTCACATTGTTGTTGCTAGGTGCCATCAAGATTGTACCAACTCATAGTGACCTTATGTACAACAGAATGAAACAATGCCCGGTCCTGCAACAACCTCATAATCCTTGCTATGCTTGGGCCCATTGCTGTTGCCACTGTGCTAGTTCATCTCATTTGGGGGCTTCCTCTTTTTTGCTAACCCTCCACTTTACCAAATATGACATCCTTCTTCAGAGACTATTTTTTCCTGATAATATGTCCGAAGTATAAGAGAGTAAGTCTCAACGTTCTGGTTTCTAAAGAGCATTCTAGCTGTACTTCTTCCAACACAGATTTGTTTGTTCTTGTGGCAGTCCATGGTACTGTTCATATTCTCTTCCAACACCATAACTCAAATGCATCAATTCTTCTATGGTCTTCTTTATTCATTGTCCAACTCTTGCATGCATATGAGGTTTGTTGAAAATACCATGGCTTGGGTCAGATGCACATTAGTCTTCAAACTGACATCTTTACTCTTGAACACTTTAAGGAGGTCTTGTGCAGCAGATTTGCCTAATGCAATACATTGTTTGATTTCTTACTGCTGCTTCCATGAGTGTTGATGGTTGATCTGAGCAAGATGAAGTCTTGACCACTTCAATCTTTCCCCCATTTATCTTGATATTATTTATTGGTCCAGTGGTGAGGATTTTTGTTTTCTTTACATTGAAATGCAATTCATACCAAAGGCTGTGGTTCTGTGATCTTCACCAGTAAGTATTTTAAGTCCTCTTCACTTTTAGCAAGTAAGATTGTATCATCTGAGTATAGCAGATTGTTAGTGAAATTTCCTCCAATCCTGATGCCACATTTTCTCTCATATAAATCAGTTTCTCGAATTATTTGCTCAGCATACAGATTAAGTAAGTGTTGTGAAAGAATACAATCCTGGAGTACACATTTCCTAATTTTAAACCATTTAGTTATCCCTAGCTCTGTTTGAATAACTAGCTCTTGGTCTATGTACAGGTTCCTCATAAGCACAATTAAGTGTTCTGGAATACTCATTCTCCGCAATGTTGTCCATAATTTGTCACAATCCACACAATCGAAAGCCTTTGCATAGTCAATAAATCACTAGTAAACATCTTTCTGGTATTTTATGCTTTCAGCCAAGATCCATTTTACATCAGCAATGCTATACCTACCTCATTTCACATCCTGGTCTGAATCTAGCTTGAACCTCTGGCAGTTGTCTGTCAATGTACCGTTGCAGTCATTTTTGAATTATCTTCAGCAACATTTTACTTGCATGTGATATTAATGATATATTCTGATAATTTCTGCATTCCGTAGGGTCACCTCTTTTTGGAATGAGCATAAATAAGGACCTCTTCCAATCACTTGGCCAGGTAGCTGTCTTCCAAGTTTCTTGGCATAGATTGATGAGTGCCTCCAGTGCCACATCAGTTTGTTGAAACATTTGAATTTGTATTTCATCCATTCCCCATGCCTTGTTCTTTGTCAATGCCTTCAGTGCACCTTGGACATCTTCCTTCAGTATCATTGGCTCTTGTCATATGCTAACTCCCGAAATGGTTGAACATAAATCATTTCTTTTTGGTATATTGACTGTGTATTCCTTCCATCTTCTTTGATGCTTTCTGCATCATTCAATATTTTGAATCCTTCAATATTTCAAGACAAGGCTTGAGTTTTCGCTTTTGTTACCTCACATTGAGAAATGCTGAGCATTCTATTCCTTTTGGTGTTGTAACTCCAGGTCTTTGCACATTTCATTGTAATATTTGATTTTATCTTCTTGAGTTGCCCTTTGAAATTTTGTATTCAGGTGTTTTACATCCTTGTTTCATCCATTTGCTTTAGCATCTCTATGCTGCAAAGCAAGTTTCAGAATCTCTCCTGACATTCATTTTTGTCTTTTCCTTCTTTCTTGTCTTCTTAATGATCTTTTGCTTTCTTCCTATATGATATTCTTGATGTCATCCCACAACTCTTCTGGTCTTTGGTTGTTAGTGTCTAATTAATCAAATCTGTTCTTGAGAAGATTTCTAAATTCAGGTGGCATATGTTCAAGGTCATATTTTGACTCCTTGGACTTGTTTTAATTTTCTTCAGCATTAGCCTGAATTTGCAATATGAGCAATTGATAATTTGTTCCACAGTCTGCTCTTGATCTTGTTTTGGCTGATGATATGGAGTGATGATATACCTCATTTCACATCCTCATCTGTATCCTTCACTATCTCTCTTCACAGATGTAGTCAATTTGATTTCTGTTTATTCTGTCTGGTGAGGTCCATGTGTAAAGTTGTGTTTCATGTTGTTTTGAAAAAAGATATTTGCAATTAGGAAATCATTGGTCTTGAAAAATTCTATCATGCAATCTCCAGCATCATTTCTATCACCAAGGCCATATTTTCCAATGACTGATCCTTCCTCTTTGTTTCTAACCAATTGCCAGTGATTATTGTATTCCAATTGCCAGTGATTATCAACACGTATTGTTTGATCAGTTTCAGCTTGAAGAAGTTGGTTTTGTTGTGTTGTTGTTAAGTGCCATCTAGTTAGTTCTGATTCATATGACCCTGTATAGAGTTTCTGAGGAGCAACTGGTGGGTTTGAACTGCCGACTTTGTGCTTCTAAGTCCCATGCTGATCTTACAGCGTCACACCAGAAGTTCACAGAGCTCTTCAATTTCATCATCATTGACTTTAGTGGTTGTTGCATAAATCTGAATAATTGTTGTTTTAACTGGTCTTCCTTGTAGTCACATGGATACTATTTTATCACAGCCAGCATTGGACTTGAAGGTTCTTGAAATGATATTTTTGATGATGAATGTGACACCATCCTTCTTCTATGTGTCATTTTTGCAACAGCAAACCATGTGATTGTCAGATTCAAAATGTCCAATACCAGTCCATTTCAGCCCACTAGTGCCTAAGATAGGGAGTCCTGTTGTGGCGCTGTAGGATAAGCACTAGATTGCAAGATGGTTGGAACAATAAAGTTGGTGTTTCCAACTCACTAGCTACGCCTCATAAACCCTGTGCAGGGTTCCTATGAGTCAGAACTGACTTTATGGCACTTACCAACAACACCAACACCTAGGATATTAATGTTTATGGGTTCCATTTCATTTTTGACAACTTCCAATTTTCCTAGATGCCTACTTTGTACAT